AGGGTATATTCCCAGTAGAGGAATTGCTGGGTCAAATGGTATTTCTTTTTGCAACTTTTTGAGAAAGCGCCATACAGCCTTCCACAGTGATTGTACCGTTTCACTCCCACCAAGAGTGAATAAGGGTTCCCGTTCCTCAGTTTACTAGTGATAATTTTTCATGTCTTCTTACAGAGTCTTTGGTTACAATTTCTTGTCCCTTTGTGTTCTCTTTCAGGACAGAAGTCAGGTCAGACCAACCCCTTCAGGATGACTCTCCTCTGTTTGAGAACCTTCCCAGCAGGCAGGCTTCCCTAGTACACCCATCTCAAGAGGACCCTCCCATGAGAACGGCAGCGCTGGCCAATGAGGAAGCCCTGCAGAAGATCTGTGCTCTGGAAAATGAACTGGCTGCCCTCCGGGCCCAGATCGCCAAAATCGTGACGCTGCAAGAGCAGCAAACACTCATTGTCACTACAGGTGTGTGTGTCCTCCATCTGCTGGCTTTAATGACAAGTTGAGAATGAGAAGAACATCACTTGCCTTAAAGTTCATTAATATGAAGCAACTGTTGGGGTGTTAGTAACCATCTCTCGGTCGCCATTTGGTTCGGTATAGAAGCCAGTCAGGTGTAAATGTATTTAGTTGTTTTGCACAGTCTCAACATTACTAGAAAAAATGGCTTGGAAAACATGGAAATTCATAGTTGAATTGCTACTGATCTTTATTCTTTCTTATGGAAAACTTTGTTGTCTGTGATAATAGCACCAGTGGTGGATAACAGGCCACCTGTAAGCCCAGAACTGGTCTAGTAGAACTTGTGAACCATAGTGGAGTAGGATTCCATTTACTTACCTAAATGTGCCAAGACAGGTTACCTTGTCTTTCTGCCTCCTTGAAAATGGAGATAATAGTACCTGTGTTATTAGTCTTGTTATGGGAGTAAGTGTGGAATTTATGCCAGATGTCTCTTACCACGTGATAGTTACTTAATAATCAGTTTTATACTGCTTGCCCAGAGTAGAAACTGAAGTCTTCTTGTGACTGCTGGTGTAAATATTGTTGCTTTTACTAATGTGCCATTGTCTTGCTGGAGAAGAAGCCATAACCTTGGAATCCTAGTCCATTAACCTGCTGGCAGTCAGTGGTGGTTGTTCCTGTTCCTGAGGCCTACATGGAGTCAGTACTGATGAAGCTATCTAAAGGAGGACAGTCTCTCTGCCTCTGGGCCTCTTTGCTTGTGCCTCTGGACCTTAAATTAATCCATCCTGGAAACCTCATCCAAGCTGGACGCACACAGATGGGCAGAGTGCACTTTTGGACGTCATGTGATTAAGGGGTGACAGATGGGACTTTAGTGAAATCTAAATAGCATGAAACTTTTAACCTAAAGTCCTTCTTCCTTAACTCTTTAGATAGCCTTAAAAAAATTAACTTCCTTTTTCTGGTAGACTAATAAAACTGCTATAATTTTTAAGACTTAAAAAAATTTTTTTAGTTTAAATTGTATAGTTGGAATACAGCTTGCTTTATGACTTCTCCCTGCCCTAACCAATACAGTCCATGCAGCATATAACATTTAATTATGCAGAAGGGTCAATTTTACATTGTCTTTTTTTTTTTCCTTAATAGGCTCTTGGGGTTTGGTTTTGTTTTTAGGGTTTTTCCCCCAAAACAACTTATTAACTGCTGCTTATTTTGGAAATTAAGTGTAACACTTCCCTTCCTTCACCCCTTGAAATATATTCAACAAATAAACCTAAAACTCTTTACTCTAGAGACATTCTTTTTAAATGCAGGCTTTTAATGCTTAGTAAAATATACTTAAAATGACTTGTAAATTTATTAAATAGTTTTATTTTAAAAATATACTAGTACTGAATGAAATTGTATCTACTATATTAGGATATTTCTGTGCAAGATAGATAATTTTATACTTCTGCTAAAAGTAGTTATAAACTGTGTGAACATTCAGTACCACAAAACCGCCCGTTAAACTGAATGGAACTTGTCTAACTGGAGAGTTTTGGACTGAATGATGCAGAATTGAGAATTGGGCATTTGTAATGAAGTAATTAGAACTGCCACATAACTGAGGGGCTTCTTCAGGATGTTTTCCCATTTTCACAAAAGAGTTGACATAGTTTTTAAAAATGAAGATTCTGCCCGTATACTGCCACCAGGGTTAAATTTCTTTTCTTACTTTTGTAGGTGATGTAGGGGCCCCCACCGTGTCTGCCCTGCCACCCCCTCCACCCCCGCCACCGCCACCGCCCCCACTTCCTGTATCAGGGTCTTGCTCAAGTAGGTCTGCCATCGATCTGATCAAAGAACGAAGAGAGCAACGAACTAGTGCCGGAAAGACTGTGGTTAAAACCAGTCCAAAGAAACCTGACATCCCAAATATGCTAGAAATCCTTAAAGATATGAACAGTGTAAAACTTCGCTCAGTGAAGAGGTGAGGATCCATTTATCTTCTTTTTTCATAATCTTATAAAACAAAGTACTAGGGTTCTTAAGGATGTTTGTTTAGTGAAATGACTACCATAAATACCTCTTTTAAGTTTTCAGTTTAGGAAAAAAAAAGGTGAAAACTAATCTTTTTTACATACAATTAAGAAACTAACAAAGTGGATGTTTCCAGGTAACTTTAAACATTTTTCCTCACTTCTGCTTAAGTATCAGCCCATGAAAGGGCTGGTATAATGCCAGTTATTACTCAGTTGTTCATTCACTACAGGTAAATATATGCTTACTATGTGGTGACCTAGTGGCTAAAGAGTTATACTTCCAATCCAAAAATAGGCTGTTCAAATCCACCAGCTGCTCTGTGGGAGAAAGATGGGCAGTGTCATCCCTTGCAATTTATAACCTTTGAAAACCCACTGGAGGGTCAGCTTTTGAGACAGTTCTGGCGTTGTGACGATGAGTTGTTCATGTTAGTCACTAAGCTTGCTAAGGGTAAAGTGCTCTTGAGGTGCATTGAATGGCTGTTAGACATTGCTGGGTCAGAGAAAGAGAGGAAGACCCTCAGCAAGAGGAATTGACACAGTTACTGTCACAAGGATAGCAGACATTGTGAGGATGGTGCATAGAGCAAGGTTCACATATGTTGTTAAGAAGGTCACTGTGAGTTCTGGTCAACTCAGTGGCACTGAACAAATGACAAATCAATTGTTTCAGCTCTCTGCTAGTAGTATTTACAGGAGTGCCTACCTGAAGTGCCAGTGATGCCCCACAGGTGTTGTGTGGCTGTCAGGGCAGCCATAGCATCTCAGGGATGCAGCATACTAAAATGTGCCCCTGGTTTCTGTCTGCTTCTCTAAGGTCGGAGCATGATGTCAAGCCCAAGCCTGTGGACACTACTGACCCTGCTACCCTCATTGCAGAGGCGCTGAAAAAGAAATTCGCATTTCGGTATCAAAATGAGGTTGAAAAAGTAACTCCAAAGTCTGAATCAGAGACCACTTCAGAAACTGTGTTGGTGAGTATTAGGGCAGAGTTTTCTTGCTGCACATGGGAGGGACTCCATTGCTACACACCTCCATTTTACAAAATACACACCTCTGCTGGTTGGGAGACCTTTAAGTGTATGATAGAGGATTAAGTCTCAGTTGACATAGTACCTTCCTGCCAGTAAATGCAGTTGTTTATTAGCTTGGAGAGAAGGTGTCATCTGTGTTTAACATTTGTACTTTTTTTTCTAATTATAGAATATAAAAAGACTAGTTTTTTATTAGATAAATTTATACTAGTCTATAAATTTAGGATTTACAGAAGAAGAAACCTGGCCTTGTCATAGGTGAACATAGAGCAGATTGTAAGATGCTCTAACACTTACTTGTAAATACTCTATCCAAATTATTATCAAGAGTCGTATGTGCTAATCTGTTCCAGAGACACAGTCATCTAAATTTCTAGCACTATTAAAACTCCTTAAAGATTGGAAAGCAATCCCATATGCTTCCTTCTAGTATTCAGAAAAGTAAAATTTGACTGAACAGAGTATTAATAAGATCAGTATAGTTTCTTTCCCAGGAAGTAGTTTAGTTACCTCTCTGCTTTTCCTGTCAGTCCATCAGGGCTTTCATATGATCACTAGCTACTTGATTTTTCATGCTAGAATACACAGTCCTCTGACCCATGATTTCAGAGGAGGGAGGTGAATGCCTGTCATTTCTGTTACATGAATTAGTCTCATTATTCATATCTTCTGTGTTTTTTTTTCTCTTCTAGTTTGGGCCACATATGTTGAAGTCTACAGGAAAAATGAAAGCTTTAATTGAAAATGTTTCCAGTTCCTAAATGGAAAATGACCCAAGAAAGACTGTCCTGGTCCAGCTGTTGGTTTATTAGGGCTCAATTGGCTAGTAGAAATCAACACTATTTAGTAAATACCTGCCGTTAGTATTCAGGGGACCACCTCCTGAATCTATATAGAGGATTAAGCAAAAGCAAAAAGCACTGAGTTTTTGGTTTTTGCTTTGTGTAAGATGGTCAGTTCTGGATCTATATAACCAGTGTGTTGTGATGGGTTTTTAACATGTCGCCAACATGTTTGGGTTATTAGTCTTGAAAACAATTTTATGTATTTCAGAAGGGACATTGGTGGGTGTTGCTGAGAGGTTTTTTTAATCTCGAACACTAATTTATCTGTACCAATGTTTTATATGCTTGCATTTGGATATAAAGCAACTGTGTTAAATTAGTAATGATGGCAGTGAGGGTACTGTTCTCTTCTTTAATTTTCAATGATAATTTTTAAGACATTGATGGAACAGCTGGTATAATGTAAGTTGTTGCAGTAAAATATTTAATTTGAACCTGGGATCTTGCCTTCAGCAGAACTTTATGAAATCCTCTCACATTTTCTTGGAGGTGGGTTTGAGTAGTAACATGATGCAGTTCACTTCTAAAATTCCAAAATGTAGTTTTTAAAGCAAAGTTAAGAACTGTGAAAGTGGCTTTTACCTTAGTGCTGTGGCAGTGGCCTTGAAATAGAGTTGTCAAACTCTGAGGAATCACATTAGTCAAATAAAAATCAGAATATAGCATCTTATTTCAGTTTAATAAAAAGGCATCATAAAAATGACTTATCCTAAGTTAATGGCAGTTCTGGAAATGCCAACTCAGTAGAATTTGAAAATTGTAATGTTGGTCAAAATAGTAGCTATTTAATGAAAGGATATCAAATAGGTGGAAGAATTGCCTATAACTTGTTTATCATTGGTCAAAATGCTGTTGAACTACATTATACAGGATAAGCCTGAGACATTGTTGAAAATGGAGCCCATCTTCCTCATCTTGGCTCTATAAGGAATTGGTTTCATGATTATTTTAAATGTGTGATAAATCTTCATGGTTTTCTATTCCTAATAAACTCAGCTATAGGTAATGCCAGAATCTCTTACCATGAATAAATATTTGGGATTATTAAAGAAAAAAATTCTACTTCCTGAAGGATTTAAGAGATGAGCAGAATAGGTGACCATTTACTGTTAAGTTATTGAAAATATGTGCAATGTTCCCAATATTAACAAAAAGTATTTGAGGTTAATTGTCATGGTTTAGTTATTCAGTTGAAATTTGAATATATGGCTTATTTTATATATGTAGTTGATATACACTGTTTATAGTTGTTTTGTATGGTTTAAAAAGTCTATCTTTAAAAAGACATTCACCTGACAAATATTTTGATCTCTTAAGTTTATATTTTATTCAGTATTGAGTTTTGGCCACTTCTGCTGTGTAAGGAAATTACTATTTTAAAATAAAGCAAATGATTTTATTTTCCTGGCTCTCATTGCCTGTTAGAAGTGTGTGTGTGTATAAATATATGTGTTGTTGTTATGTGCCATTGAGTTGCCTGTGATTCCTAGCAACCCTATAAACAACAGCTCTAAACCTTGTCCTATCCTGAGCCAGTCTCACTGTTTCTGACATACCTACCCCATTTCATTTCACCAGTTACTGTCAGTCCATCTCATCTGGGGTCTTCCTGTCCTCCATTGACCCTCCATCTTTCCAAACATAATGTCCTTCCTCAAAGACTGGCCCCTCCTGGCCATGTGCTCAAGACAGACTTACTTGTTTCCTGGTACGTTCAAGACTCTTCTCTAGCACCACAAATTAAAGGCATCAATTCTTCTGTCATCCCTAGTCACTGTCCAGCTCTCTGATGCATAGCAAATAATTGTAAGACCATGGGCTGGATCAAGTTGTAGCCTCTAGACTGATATCATTGCTCTTTAGCACTTTGGAGAGGTCCCTGACATCAGATTTCTATAGTTTGTCTTGATTTCCTAACTGCTAGTATCAATAGTGTTGATTATGGAACCAAACAAGCCTAAATTGTGAACAACCTCAATCTCTTCTCCATCTATCATGGTGTTGCCACTTGGCCCAGTGGTAAGGATCTTTGTCTTCTTGATGTCTTCAAGGCTGCAGTCCTTGACCTTCTGCAGCAAACGCCTCAGGTCTTTTTCAATTTCTGCAAGCAAAGTTGTGTCATCTGCATAATGCAGGTTGTTGATAATCTAAATGCCATGTTCCTCCTCATAAAGTCCAGCCTCCTGAATGATCTGCATACAGATTGAAAAGGTCTGGAGACATGACACATCCTCAATGCATTCCTTTCCTGAGTTTGAACCACGGCAGTGTTTCCTTGCTGTGTTCTAAATATATCCATTTCCCCCCCTCCCCCTAGTCTCTTTACAGTAGGTAAGATACTTTTTCATTGTAGCTTCTATAGAACATAATTTGCTTTACAGAAGTAGAAGCATTTTCTTTAAGAAGTTATCTCCCCTCCCATTCTTTTTTTTTTTTTCTTAAATGGCTCTTAAGAATAGGAAAACAGTCACTTTCGTAAAGTTTGTCAAGCCCAAAATCCACTCTGGGATTGGTGAATCTATTTTTCTATCCTTCCCCACTCCGTTTCTTCCAGCCAGCACCACCAGTACCCGAAATGAAACATCTCGAAAATTGTGTTGCCCATTCCTCTTACTCTGTTGGCCCTCAGCTTTGGCACCACCCTCCAGCCACTCTGGAAGGGCAGCCCTACTCACCCCACTCTCGTCTGAATAGAGACCCTACTTTCTTAGCCCTGTCTTCTGCCTCTTGGGAATGGCAACCCTGCCCCCCTGAGGTTTACTGAGTGGTCCCCTTCCCCTGGCACACCTTAATAGCAGTCCTGTTTTACAGAAATCAGTTGAAGGAAAGCCCAGTCTTTGAGACCTGGGAGGCTCTCCCCCCACCCTTTGAGATCCAGGAGACCATGGCACTATGGGCTTTGCTTCCTATATTCACAGCCGACCCTCCAGCAGGTCTCGGGAGGCTTTCAACTGCAAGGGAGGTGGTTGTCCACCTTTCTCTTGTGGAGCCATTGGTGGAGTTGAGCCACCTTAGGTCAGCAGCACGATCCCTTGGGACTGCACTGCTCCAGTCACAGACGAAGCATGTAGCTCCTGTGACCTGTTTTCTAGAGAATTCCAAAAGGGAGACAGTGTTCTCTGTCTGTCCCTTTATTTTTCAGTGTAAGTTGATAGGTTTTCTACTTTGCTAGATGATAGATCATTAATCAAATGTTTAATTTCTTTCTTTAATAAGTTATGTGGCTCCCACTTGATGAGCATTCTATGGTACTTGTGCTTAGTTTATTAAATAGAATTTTCCAAATCCCTTGTTTTCATGTTTCACAGATCACTAAATTCCATCTCTTTCCTCTTGTATTTTCTAATCGAGGCAAGGAGAAACTCTGTTCTTTTTTAAGGTCTTGCATAGAAAAATAACCAGCCAGATAGTGAAAATTCATGACTTACAAGTTCTACCTTAAACCAAGCATTTGAACATGATTCAGACAAGTTCTTTGCCACTGGCATAAAAGGCATTTCCCTCCTTCCAGTGCCATGGTTGGTTGTTTCTGAAAGAAGCACATTTGATATCTACGTTTCTACAAGTACCCTGTTGTTGGTGCCGTGAGTAACACTCTAAGATAATGGAGGCTTTCTTTATAGTGTCCTCCCTGCCTGCTTCACCAGAATTCCTTTAATGTCCAGAATTCTACTAATCTGTACTTTTATTGTTGTAATGTTTTCTTTTTTTTTAGCATCTATTATTTTTTTTATTATTATTATTATTAAATTTTATTAGTTTCAATGAACATTCACAGGGATTCTGTGCTTTCCCTCCTTCATTGCTGCACCATTCTCTCCACCCTCCTCCCCAGTTTGTTCTTCCC